GTGCTGGAGCAGCTCTCCTATGAGGAAAGGCTGAGGGAACTGGGCTTGTTTAGCTTGGAGAAGAGAAGGCTCCAGAGAGACCTCATTGTGGCCATCCAGTACTTGAAGGAAGCATATAAACAGGAGAGGAAATGGCTGTTTACAAGGGTGGATGGTGATAGGACAAGGGGGAATGGTTTTAAACTGAGACAGGGGAGATTTGGGTTAGATATTAGGAGGAAGTTTTTTACAGAGAGGGTGGTGATGCACTGGAACAGGTTGCCCAAGGTTGTGGATGCCCCATCCGTGAGGCATTCAAGGCCAGGCTGGATGTGGCTCTGGGCAGCCTGGTCTGGTGGTTAGATGATCACTGTGGTCCTTTTTAACCGAGGCCATTCTAAGATATGATGATTAAATAAAATCACCAGATAGGTATCAGTATTGGAGTCACAGTTGAGAGTAGAAGTGCTCAGCTTCTGGTTTCATAATCAGTTCAAGAATGCATGTGTCAGTAACCTCATCAGCTACAGATGGAGTATTGTCTGCTGATAGGGTAGAAAGATGTACTGAAAGCACAGAACGCATGACTACGCCTTGTTTAGGTAACTGGATAACTTAGTTAATCAGAAAACAAAATAGCTTTTTCTTTTTTTCCCCCTGTGAGGAATTTGCTGTTTACTTTGTTGACTGAATCATTCTGAGTCAGAGGACGGTTTGCTTACGTGAGTCTTCCCGTGGCCTTCAGCAGAGGGGTGAATTTCACCTTTTGTCCTCTTTGTATTTCCTCACGTAATAGGGGAAGTAATAGTTTGCATTCTTTTCTGCCTTTGGCTCAGGATATTTAGGATGTTGCTCAACGGGAAATGAACAGGAAAGTGCTTTTGTAGTAGATTAATACAAACCTCCGATCTTGGGTGGATGGATAGCATTCTATTACACAGCTTGGCTGGGAATTTAGCATGACTGCTCACACTTTCATTCCTAAGGAAATGCATTGAGCAGCTGGACATCTGACAGCAGCAGCATGTCTGATGGAAGTATACCTTAAACAGCATTGTCTAAGAGCAAAAGCTCACTGACATCATTAATACACTGTATCACCTGAATACTCAGCAGAGGGGGCTGGCTCCTGTTCTCACAAATTGCTGAGAGAAAGCTGAGCTGTCCAGAGGTATTCAGGAGCTCCCTGTGATAACCCCATGCTGTCTGTCATAAACACGTTACTTAAGGAAAGTTCCAGAGCTATCCCATGTTCCAACATCTGAACTGCACATTGGCTGAACATCCCAGACCTTTTCCTTATGCCTGTGTATAAAAGAGTTTTGCTCTGCTGCACTGTTCTCCCGCAGTGAGCAACTTGTGATGCCAGACAGTTCATCTCTACTGAAATTGTAACCATCACACTGAAGACACCATGGGATAAAGCTCCCAACTTCAGGGAGAAGTTGGCATCAAAATAAACTCAGTGTGTCAGGGCAGCACAGAACTAACCCTGGTACATGAATGATGAACCTGAGACTGATTTAAAACTGACAAAATGGTGCAAGAGCATGCTGCTGTCCTTACTGTCCCTGTAATTTCTCCCCCCATCGCTGAAAACCAAGCCAAACTGTGTTTCAGAGATGGGTATCCAGAATCTAAGGCATCCCTGTGCCTTTTTTCTAATTGCTGATGGTTTGAAATGAGGCTGGGGGTGGTGCACTAACAAGAGCCCATGTCTTGGAGGAGTCATAAAAATCTGTTGCTCTCAATGAGGAGATTTCTAGTGTGCCAGTGCCATGAACCTTTCACCAGGACGAACTGTACTGGGGATGCTATGGAATGGGTATTGTACAGGAATTAGGAGAACATTAAAGCCTTCTTTTATGCATATTGAAAACCTCTATTTGTTCGTGCAAATAGTATTCATGTGAATTATGCAGCTACATTAAAGGGAGGCCCTTTAAGAATGTGCTTCTGAAAACATGGACTCCTTTGCCAAGAAATAATGGGACTTCCTTAATTATCAGCTGTTATCTTCTGGTTTGGGGAAAACTTTTGTTGCTTTGTGTGCTTTTGTTTCTTTTATGTTTTGACATTAATGAATTGGAGGTTATGTAGCGAGGAAAACAAAGTGATCTGTATAAATAATAAACTGGAATTCTTCTGTGCACTGGAAAAAAAAGGGGAGAGGGACACCAAGCATTGTGAAGAAGGAATTTGGAAACTGTGCTTTCACACAAACTTCTTAACAGAAACTAATAGCTGGCTTCAAATCATGTAGTGTTTGAGGAATCTGAGCAGGGATCAGCAAAACTGTCTGATGTTGGAGGCTCTGTGTATGGTGATGGACTGTATTAACAGTTATCATGGCTGAAATTCCGGTGATGGAGATATAAACCTACCTGTAGTTTCTAAACCTTGACGATCTTTTATTCATGCCAAAGCCCTCTGAAACCAAGAGTTACCCTGACAAACAAAGGAAAGCCATTTTTAACTGTGCAGCTTGGGATAGAGAGGAGAGGAGAGGAGAGGAGAGGAGAGGAGAGGAGAGGAGAGGAGAGGAGAGGAGAGGAGAGATGTTAAACAATGGGACTGTTGGCTGAGCGCATGGGTCACCAGGAGCCAATGATTAAGGTAGATAAGATGCTTTACAAGAGGTTCCCTTGACATTTTAGAGACAGCAGAGGGAAAGCTGCTCTAGAGGAGAAAGTTAGAGAGAGAAGTGCTGCTGGATTAAAAGAAGGAGCTAAATCTAGGATCCCTGAACTTCTTTGAAAACTCTGAGCCCAAGCAATGTTCTGGAGCGATGAGGCAGAGGACAGGACACAGTTTCCAAAGAAACCTTTGAGTCATGAAGGACTGGCAGCTGTAGGGACAAATATGTCCTGAACAACCTCCATGACATTGTGAGGCTCTGAATGTGTTGTGGCTTTATTAATTTGGTCAGATATGTCTATTCTTGTGATAGCTGAAGGGAAGAGGGATTTGGGGTGGGAGCCTCTGCTTGTGCCTCTCCCAGGGGAGCCGGTGCTGGTCCTGGGGCAGCAGAAAGCTCCCTTCCAGGAAGGGGCTGCAGACAAAAAAATCCCCAACCCCCTGGACTCTGAAAGTATTCCAGAGGCTATGTCTGCATTTTGTGTTTGGCTTGAACTTGAGCCCAGGGCCCATGTCTCAGCTGGAAGGCAGCAATCTCTGCTGTGTATCTGAGAGCAGTGCCTTCTGCCTTTTCACTAATCTGGTGGGGCTTTTGTGAGGGCCTGTCTGGGTTAGGGAGAGCCAAGGGCCCACTGTAGTGCCAGGCATGTTTGCGTGAGCATCCCCATGGAGCAGGGTGGAGGAAGAGCTTCCACAGAGCAACTAGAAAGCCTGAGAGCCCTACTGCCATCCTGTAGCTGGCAGGAGTCCGAGCTTGTGTAGGTGGGCAAGCTTTTCCCAGACCCCACAAACCCCAGAGACTTTGCCTGCCCAAGATAGGAAGGGTCGTGGGAATGAGGAGTTGGCTGTGGGAATGGCCAGAGAATAAGAACTTAGCACGCAAGGCAGATGGCACAAAGGATGGAGAAGAACATGGGGAGTCACAACATGGGAGTCCTTTATGACCCTTTTAGCAGCTGCTGTCACCTGCCTACATGGAGCACAAATGGGCTCAGCAGCACTGAGTTGTGCCAGAGGCATTCACCTCAATGTTGTGTCTTTCTTCTCCAGAGCAAAGCTTTGGGTGGACATCCTCCTGTTGCTTCTTGCTTCTGCCTCCAAGTATGAGTCATTCCCTACCCATTTTCAGCTTCTTTCCAGTCACTGTCTTGCTGCTCATTCATGCTATGGCAGCTAACTCCATTGGTGATGGGAAGGGTCAGAAGGTAAGCAAAGGTTTAGAGATGGTCAGTAGGTAACCAACACTTCTGCACAGGAGCATGGCAGCAGATGCACTTACAGGGACAGAGGAGTGAGGAGATTAGACCCAAATGCACTGTTTACTGCAGTGCAGGATAGAGATACTTAAGCTAGTTTGGGTAACCAAAACAATTGAAATAAGCCTGCCTCTCTGCCAACAAACAGACTGTTCTATCTGAGCCAGCTCGCTCCCACCAGGACGTGCAGACTTATTATTTGGAGAAGAGTACATTCAG